GTTTACACTCTCTCAACAAGAGAACTTCCCAGTAGACAATTGGAAAAATTTACAGGATTACAGGATTCTCTTTTTAATTTCATTACCTATGTTTTTCAGGGATGGTAAGTCAGGCCTGGGAAGTTACAGCAATCACTAAGCAGCAGAAGAATATTCAATATGCTTGAAATCAATTTTCCACATTCTGCTTACACGGAAATGCAGCCAAAGTCACTGTGCTTTCTGCACATGGGCAATAAATAAATAGCTAGAAAAGCTGAATTCCTTTTTAATATTCTGAGTGCCTAGCAGAGACCATAATTAACTCAATATACATTTGTGATATGCATTAAGCTTGATTCCTGACAACTGGGTCTGACAACAGCTAGGAAGTTAGAAGGAAGAGCAAGGGCTGTTCCTATCCTCATGCCCACTACATCCTCTAAAAGCAGCTATGACCCCTATATATGTCTTAAGTAGTAGATGCTGGCTTTAAAATATGCCATAACCACAGACAAAGCAAAAATCAGAACTGTTTAAACTGGCTGGTCATCTAAGCTACATAATTGGGAAGCCAGTGTTCAAAGAATTCTTGCTTCCAACACAGAATTCTTCCTCTTGCCTCAAATAAATTTTTAAAATCCCAGCGGGAATACATAGTCTATGGTCTTAAACAGCAATAAAACTGCTTGATGTACAGTTGTAGTTTGATGCACACTGCATTAGGGATGTTAAATGGCGTTTAACCAGATAATCAACTAGTCAATGGAAACTCCATTTGCTGATATGGGGGAAGAACTGCAGAGCTTCCCCCCTGCCACCAAGAGCAAACCCCGCTGAGCTTCTGGTTTTAAAAGGTATTAAAAGCCTGGTGGCTCTTAATACATTTAAAAGGCAGAGCTACAGTGGGATTAGCTCCTGGGCCCAGGAGCTAACCCTGCTGTAGCTCTGCAGTTTCCCCCCTTATCGACTAGTTGATGGAAAACTTGCACCCAGTCCCCTGCTACACCTCCCCTGCCCCCATGCCCATGGAGATGGTGCTGGGGGAAACCGGCTTGTAAGCTGGCTCCCCCAGCACTGGTTCCTGCTCTCCTGATTGATGCCTATCTCTGATAGAGGCAGCATGGGGGACGGGAGGAAGTGACTAGTCGAGTAACTAATCGACTATCCGATTCCATCCCTACACTGCATTGCTATTACAATCACAGTATATAAGGTGTGACTTATGTGGCAAGAGGGAGAAAAGCAGCAGCGTACCTCTAATATCCAGCAACTATGACCTATTGTATGATCAAATGTGTGACATTTAGCAAAATATTCCTTCACCCTCATACTCAATAAGTACAACTGCCTAAAAAAGTCACTTCTTTGCTTTTAGTTCCTTTTCAAATACTTTCCATGCCTCTGTCAGTGAAACTGCCTAATACCACACAAGGTCTGTCTTAACGAGCACAAGGGAAAACCCCACTGCAAAATAAAATCGGTCACATTCTTCAGGTGTACTTTCTTTCTGATCCAACTTGAAGTTAATGATTTTGCTGCTTGAGGTTAGCAAAGTATAGCAACATAGAAGTATAACATTCATACAAGATGAAATGTCAGAGCCTCTTGCATTGAGTTGTGCGTGTGTTTGGGTATGTGTGTTGCGGGGATGGCAGCAAGAGAGGCCCTACGTAAAATTTAAGGCATATGACAATAGCCCTGAGTTATATTCCCTCTAACTTTTTCCATGTTTGTGTGGAATAAATTTTGTTATGTGCACAAAGGCATGTACAAAGATGCATCAACAATATAAACATTTGCTGCTGGCTCTAGGTATTCTGCTAAATCAACTGGACGGCACCTGAATCTGTCCTGGGTGGCCGACCAAGTGCTCAGCTTACAGGAGACACTGGCCCTGAGCATTACGGTAACACAACTGTACATGTGAGTATTTCAGAGAGTTACTGTAATAGATTTATTATCACAAGGGCTGTGGTGGGTTATCCTGTGTTGCATTTTACCCCCTCCATCCTTTGGAGGGAGCCTTCCTACTACCCGATGCTCCAATTTACCCCAAAAGGTAAGCACGCAGGCTGCTCTCTCAGACATCAGCCACCCACAATTTTATTTTAGCTGCTTTCAAGACACACACATTTGGAGGAGGCAGCCCCATGGCTACTCAGGTAAGTCTTGTGGTATATTTATACTCTGGAGGAGAAGACAAGTGTTGTCACTAGGGGGGCAAATTTTCCCAACACAGCTGTTCAGCCCCTTGAAGCAGTGCACAAAATTAGATTCAGAAGCCACCTTTAGGGTTATTGAGATTCTGAGCCTGGCCTTAGCCTGTGATAGATTCGGTGGTTAGAGACTGAACTTTGGAAATGGATTCCTAATTTCCCACAGTTGAGGTGTTTGACTCTGCAGCAGCGGTGGGCAACCTGCAGGTCAAATGAGACTCACTGAAGTTCTGCGTGTTGTCTGTGAAGCGTTTTGTTTGCCACTGCCCACATGCAGGCTTGCCAGATTCCACTGATTTCCGCTCACATAGTTTTTTCTCCCCTACTACACAGTGTTACTCAAGTGACACACATGAACCACCAGGGCACACGAAGTGAAGTGCGTGCTGACCTTACACAACATTGACTGTGAGAGCCATGTGTGCTCTCTGCATCCAATCAAAGTGCTGCTATGATTCAATCAGCACCCCTGCCAATTCTAGGTTCACAAGCGGAGTCAGCAAAACGACCCTACCCCAGGAGGCCATCTTGGTTATGATAATCTTATGAACCACTGAGATGAAGGAGGCCCACTCATACGGCCAACCCATTAGTCTTGGTTGCCCATTGCCGGAGTCATGGTCATTTCACTCGCACCTTAGGGTTGCCAGCTGGTTTCAACAAAAATACCAGACACACATGACATTACATCACAATCTATATTACATCTTACTTAGAAAATACCGGACATTTAAATTTTCTCATTTATATTTTCTCAATTTGGTTCCTGAACAGAAAGCTCAAATACTGGACTGTCCGGTTCAAAACCAGACACCTGGCAATAACTCTCTCAGATCACATGCGTTCGCTCCGCACTGCAGTATGCTGACTCAGAAGCTCACTTCACTGCACAGCATGTAAATTCTCCGACTCTTCAAGCTCGTGACCCTGGAAGTCGATTCATCCATCCAAGCATATCCCTAAAGGAGCGGAGCGGAAGTGATGAATGTGTCACTTCTATGACCGCCACGCCAGCCAGTTGCACCGGCCTGTAGGACCCCCCGAAGTCTGAGGTCTGGTACAGTTGCTCTGACTCACTGTACCCTAGAGATGGCTCTGCATCCCGTCATTACACCAAACAAGCAAAGCACTGATTTCAGGGCTGGAAAAGGCACAAGTGGCCTTTATATATTTAAGCCTGCCGCATTGTGCAGGGGGTGAGGAAGGGGGTGGATAGAATAGAATAGATGACCTCTTATGGTCCCTTCCAGCCCTATATTTCTATAATATCTATCCATATGCCAGGTTAACGAGGAATTTCTAAAGCTCAATCCCTTGCCAACTTCATTAACACTGTACAACCTGCTTTCCTAGTGCTGCCTGAAATAAGACCACCTTATCTAGTCCCTCCACATTCCTAGTTCCTGCTGTATAATTTCCATAATGTCAAACAATTTCAAAGCCATCTGATTGCCAGAAATTCTCTGTGGAATCATGGCAGGAAAAGAATGTGAGAGGGGGCGTCATATGGCAGTCAGACCTCCTCCTTCCACTGGCTACCCTCCTCCGGCAACAAAACACGGGCTGTCATCCGAAACCAAAGCCAGTCGTCCAGTCAGAGGCTCTTTTCCGAAGAATCCCAAGCAGCTGAGGCCCTTAAGTGATTGCATCCCTTCTGTGGGCCTCCAACAAATCTCAATAACTCAAGACACAGCATTTCCTTCCAGAAAACTAGTTTGGGAAGCATATCAAAGCAGTAAAAGACTGAATAACTGAAACTACTGTACACAAAACCCAGCAGAAGGATTTTAACAATGTAAAGTGAAGGGCTGACGCCTGTTATGGCTGTAGATAGGAATGGATATAGTTATTTGGAAATTTCTCTTTCTTTATGCTTACAGGAAAGGACGTTGTGAAGGGAGGAGAAAACACCAACCTCAATGAAATGAAAACTATCCACTGTGGTAAGGGATCCAGAGCTGTTTTGAGTGGAAGACTTACTGCATTATTTTATCTGCGAGCGGAGTTAGAAAGCTTGTACTCCAAAGGGTTAATTCACAATGTACTTCAGCCGTCCCAAACTCAGGCTTTTCTTTTTGGATATCCAACAGCATTATTTTAGATCAAATAAAAAAAGTTCAAGAAAGGCTACGTTGATGAACTCCCCAAAACAGAAACATTTATTTTCTACAATCTGTATTTCTTTGGTAATAGAAAACAAGAGTTTTAACTGCTTAACCTAAGTTTAGCTCATGTAGGATTCTTGCTACTAGCAAAGTTGTTTTAAGGCACATGTTCGGTTCATAGGGACCATTCAAACAGAACCTAGCAAGGCTAGAGTATTTTAACAATGCTTCATCTTGCCTTTTAGTTGCTTATATGAATTTAAATGAGGGAAGACAAAGGAGATGGGAGACAAGGTAGTTACATAAAAGGGACACATTAAAAATACTTATTTCAAAATGGATGCACTGCCACAGCACCAATGAACAGAGGAGGTCAGAATGAGGGTGATCCCATGAGTAAGATGGAACCCATGCTCTGAGAGAGAGAGTGCTGATGCTTCCAAAAAGTTATTCATGACATCAATGAATTATGAACAGTTCCATCGGTTCACAAGCTTATGAACATGTCTCCCCATCGCCAACAGACTCAAGTCTATAATTATTTTATCTACCCCCTATCGTTACAACTTGATCTAGATGTTGAGTTTCCACTCAGCGACGGATGGATTTACCTTGGTAACTCAGCATCAAGGGATTAAAAAGGGTATCAGATGGAGGAATACACTGCAATCAATCTCAAAAAACAGGTGATACTTACAGCATATCAGGACAGTTGTCTGGTTTCTCCAATAAGCCTCCCTCCATCACGAAGCGGAGAACTTGCTCATTGGACATGCCTTGGTATGGCTGCTCTGCTAATGTTGCAATTTCCCAAAGGACAACTCCAAAGGACCTGGAAAACAATTATGACTTAAGAAGTGTTAAGCAAAACAAGCAAGATTCTGGTTTAGAATATGGTGGGATGTCTTATTAAAAACAAACACCAACTTGACTGCTCGAGGTGTCGGTAACAGGATAAGAAAACGTTCATTGCTAAGCCACTGCTATAACTCTGAGTCAGTGGTGGCAAAGAGCTATTGATATTGGATAGCTAGTAATCCAATGTTAATGAGTTTGGTGGGCTCCATCTAGGGCCCACATCACAAACGACATCACTGTTCTTGACTCTCATTGGCAGCTCAACTACTGTATTAGCATGAGAGTCAAGTGGGGAAATGACCTGGAGACTCGTCTCAACTCATCTCTGCAGGAGCATTCTCCAAGTTTAGATGTGAGAACCATTTGTGAGAGGGGGCGGAGAGGAGAAAGCAGTGAAGAGACTTGCATGCTTGCTGCTCAAGTTGCTTTTTCTGTGTTTAGAAGACGTGTGTGTCCAGGGCTGTCCTTTAGACAACCCTTCACTCCACTCACATAATTCTATAAAAAAATTCCAACACAGCAATTCTTAAGCAGAATAGTTAAATGTCACGAAAAACATGGCTACCGTGACAGGTGAGGCTGAGCCGGCCTGGCCACTGAAATGAGGAGTATGATCCTGACATGTTAAAAAAATAAACACAACTCATGACATTTCTTCTCTCTCAGTCGGGCACTTCTGGCATATGGAAGAAGGCAGGCAGCTCAGGATGACAAGCATGCAGAAGCACAGCCCTCATTTCAGTGCATGCTGCCCTGTTCCTTACCCTTTGTCTGAAATGCTTGAACAGCAGCAATATTGAACAGTTAAAAAAAATACCCTGAGTTTTTTCCACTTTAGCCATGACATGGCTACCTACTACAATGTAAGATGCTAAGTCTGCAAATACCATATGGTTTGTTCTCCACAGGAAAACCTGCTTCTGGCACAGGAATACTTTTTGGTCAATCCTGGTTCTCCCATTTGTCACTCTGCTTTAGGGTCCCCAACATACCACAAACACAATGCGAAACAACAAAACACTTCTGAGATAATGACAGCAATCAATACAACTTCTCTGCATTAGAGTAGATGTGGGTGAGATGCAAAGTCCTATTTAATCAGTCAGTTGGTTAAACATAATGTTTAACAGATTAACCGCTTAAAGGGAAGTGGGAATCTGGGGCAGATGAACCATAAGGGTGATGCTTTACCGGTTAACCATTCACAACCCTAGTGTCAGTTTAATCATATAGGATGCAAAAGAGCTAACACGGGCTACGAAGATCTATTTAGAACATTTTGAGCACCATGGGAAGCTCTACTGTCATTTTGCGACACACAGGGTAACGTATTCTTGAACTGTCTACCTACATATCTGCAAAAGGACAGTAGAAGAAAGATGCTGATCTAGAAGCCTGAGCTGTTCATTAGATAAGAGAGACAATTATAATTTACAAGGACAAAAATCTCATGTGTCTTTTCTATGACAGTCTTACACAAAACTAAGCAGCTCCTTCTGGCAATTAAAGATGAAAATATTCAGATCTGCGTTTTCACCACTACTGCTCCCAGCCCAACTTGCTATAGGAAAGCAGGGATGTGTGCACCAAGAGTAAGGTTTGTGTTGTGAAAACGGGAGTTCAATGTTAGTAGGTGGTTATGGTGGAGCGGTTTTACATTACAGATTATCTACTGTGCCTAAAACGAGTTCAGGTTAAAACCAGAAATGATCAAAGTTTCGCAACTAAAACAGTTGCACTTGGAGCAAAACAAGAACAAAAATCTCTGCTCAACTTCTTGTTGCCTTACAGCTATTCTGATAATCACAGGAAAGAGGCTACTATGTTTATTTCATGAGTACTACCTACAACACTAGAGATTACACTGCAAGAACAAACTTGAATTGTTCCTTTAAAATAGATTAGCAGATGGTAAATGGCAAAGACCTATCGTACAGAAAGACACCTTGCAGCTCTGGTTCCCGGAAAGGTATTGCATCAATTTTAAAATCTTTACACTCTCAATACAAGTCTTCTCTAGTTAACTCATTCCTCAGTCTCTAAGAACAATAAAAAAGTGATATTACTAAAATAAACCCTAGCCCTTCAAATCCTCCAGACACACTTTTACAGTTTGCCATTTCACCTGACAGCTTATAAATCTTCATAGCTGACCATTGGCAGTTTTCTCATTTTGACACTGAACTTCTAAAAACAGTATCTAAGAGATCCTGATGTCACAATACACTACCAGAAAGGCAGAAAAATGGTCTCGGTGTATTTATTTTTTGACACAAGGAAAACACCCACAAAAATAGCCAAACAATGTTGCTTGCATGAAGCAACTTCAACCTGAAAACTGAAAAGGAGAGTCAAGTGATTTTTCTGATATCAGGTCTTTAATGTAGAGCATCTGGTCTGCTCTATACATTATTTAAACCAGACTGGAATGACTGACTATTTTACCCACAAGCAGATCAAATAAGACACTTAACAGTGATAAGTTGGGCTTCAATAATTTTGAGATGTGGGTTCAACTACTTTGGAATCAAGCCTTTTGGATATGTGCAGTGGATATGGATGTGAGGGTCGGAAATACACTCTGTTTATTGATACATAGTGTGTACACAGACCATATGCCCTCATATTCAACCATTCTTTTATGCCTTGACCATTACACCTGCAATGGAAGATTTAGAAAAATGTCTACCTTGTTTCTAGCACTGGATGCTAAATAATCCTAGGGGAAATAAAAACCAGAAAGTCCTGTGGCACCTCAAAGACTAACAAAAATACGTATAGTATCGTGAGCTTTTGTGGGCAAAAATCAACTTCATCAGATGAACTGGACAAGAATAACAGAAACCCAAAATTTTATAACAGAAAGAGAAGGGGGAAGGAGAGAGACGTGTCAATTGTAGGACTGGTGCTAATGAGGTTAATTAAGTGGGCTGGAAGTGTCCCATACTTAGCTACTGATGTAAAAATGAGGTGTTAAATACAGGGAAGGCTGGCTTTATGATCCAGTTAATGTCTTCGTTGAAGCCAAGGGAAACTATGTCAAATTAGCAGATGGGAAATACCTGAGAAGGGTAATACATATTCTCAGAATTATAGGACTGGAAGTGACCGCATGTGGTCATCAAGTCCAGTCCTCTGCGCTCAAGGCAGAACTAAGTATTCCCTAGAGCAGTGGTCTCCAACCTTTTTACACCCACCATCACTTTTTAAATGACAGAACAAGCCAAGATCTACCTCCTCGCCCCTTCCTTGAAGCCCCGCCCTCTCTGTTCACCTCCTCTCCATCACTTGCTATCCCCAACCCTTACACTGCTGCTTCCCCCCCCCCCCCCCCCCCATTCTTCTGTAGGAAGCAATTTTTCCTACATTTGGCCTGTCTAGACTTGATCCATGTCAGAAAAACCCCTTCTTTTAGAAGCCCCCTTTCATGCCTCATGGAAAGAGGAATATAGGGGTGACCGAAAGATCATGTTTGCATTTCCACTAAAAGAAGTGGAAGAACAAACACATCCGTGGATGCAGAAGAGTTTTTCTGGGGTATCTCCGGAATCCTGAAAA